AACACATAGAGCGGTAAAGAATGAGAAGTAAAAAAATTATTTTACTTTCGCTACACGTGACTATAAAAAAACTGTCAAATCATTATTAACTTGCCGACAGAACATACTCCCACGAAGATACATAAATTTCGCAATATGATGATGTAGTTATGAGTCATTGAACAACATAATATTCGAAGTAAAGAATGAAATACATAGACTTTTACATTATTTATTTAGACCGTAATATGTTTAAAATTATGTTGCAAAAGAATCAGATCATTTTGATTCTATTTTTCTTTATGAATATCAAAACCTTAGTTTGTCACAGAAAATCAAGTTATCTTTTGACACAATGGCTTACGCTAAAAAACTACTAATCGTAACATTTGATATTATAGTTTTAATCATACTATATGAAACCGCTAATAACGACAATATTTAACTCTATACTTACATTTATTTTTTACCACCATTTTTTCCGCAAGATTATAAAAAAAATTATTTATAGTAACTTTTGAGAATGGTGCTAACGTATTTAATCAATTGATTGAAGTATCTTACAAGAATCATGATATTAAACAAGAATACAACTTCAGTAATTATTGATTATACAATTATAACTATAAAAAAATCTGATAAAAATTGGAGAAGAATCCAAAATAATTTAAAAAAAGGAAATACGGCATCTTGATATTCGAAAAACAGAAATCAGATAAAATCTAAATTATAATATGTATACACATATTAGCTTTACATATTAGTAAATGAATTTTTATATAAAAAAATAAAGAAGAAATTGTTCTTATATCTTGAAAACGAACAAACTTTTAAGGTCTATTGTCGAGTTAGAATATAACAGCACTGTTTTTGTCATTGATTATTATTGTTGTTAGTTTTGATTCCATATTAATTATTGTGTCATCATTAGCAATCAAACTTGATGATGAGTCATCTTTGTCAACATCTGATTCTAATCGTATCAATTTTTTCTCAGGATTCATCCAATTGGCAAATATTGAAACAATAGTAGTATCATTATTGTTTACATCAACTGCGTTTTTATTCAAACATATATGAATAATACAACAAATCATAAGAAATAAGATAAGAATAGTAACCAATATAATCCATAGAACAACTAAAATTTCATGATTAAATGAAAATCGTCTTGTAATTGCTAGTTTTAGCATATCAGGAGAAGCAAACATTTCTGTATCATCAATCATTAAAGATTCACCATTGTATAAAAAATTAGTAGAAGACAATTTTGATCCATGCATACGAATATGATGATCCTTTGATATAGGTGGTGGAATTACACTGTCTGCAGGAATAAGACTAAATACAAATAACAACATTCATATTCAATTGAAGACAGCTACAGATTTATATGACAAACATGTACGAATTATAGATCTATAATTTTTGCCATTACTTTTGGTTGACTTTGTATCTGTTCAGTAAAATTGTTTATTACAATAGCTTACTCTATCATACTTGAAACTTGATTATCCCAACATACAGGAAACGGAGATTGTTGGTCAATAGTTTCTTGATTACTTGTTGTATTTTTTGGTATGTATGCATACATTACATAAATTTTACACATTTCATCACTACGTGTTGTTCTAAAATTATAATATTATCTGATATATGTTCTATGAAAAAGATGTTCTTTTTATTCTTACCCAGTGACAATAACTCGATCATCATTATTACCATATACACATTGACCAATCAAATAATCACCACTTTTAAAATGCTTGATCTATCTGTGGAAAATCTTTGATAATTAACGTGACATTTCCATTACGTATTCGATATAACGAATTTACTCGTCCTATTAAATAAATAATCGAAATATATAAAATATATCTTTTACAACACTATTAGAAAAATTCATTATAGATTATTTTGGTAAAAATATTTGATATTTTAATCAGCGTTTTTGAGTCGTATCTAGATGTTGCGATGGTAACTGTAATGCTTAATGTACACTGACTTAATATCATTTAAGTTCTCATTTATTTAAGACGATGCAATTTGATAACAAACTGATTTCATTCGATAAATATCTGGTCGTCGCATCTACTTTTCTTTAATCTTCAGTTGATTTTTATTTAATCCAACTGTTAACATTTCTTCTATTAAAAAATAATAATGACTACAAAACTATTATATCTCTATATACACGATTTATCATATAGCTTTTGTTTTAATATGAGTTTCGATGACTGACAACCAAAATGAATATAATACAAACCCCACATATGCGTATGAATAGCAGCAGCAAAAAAGAAAGCAAGTTGTCCTGTATAATAACACGAAAAAGGAACTTGAATAGCTAAAAAGAGATATTCAATAATTAAAATATTTTCTATCTATTGTTTTTTGTTTACTTTCCGTTTTTGGTAGTAATATAATATCACTTGAACCAGTCAATAAAATATTAGCATGATATTTACGACTTAAACAAAAATATAGAATATACTTACGGTTTTCGAGTCATAAATAATTGAAGTCCAAAATTATCTCTTTTACCAATGAATAAATAATGAATATTAATTATAATATATTTATGTGGAGTATTACGTCCAACAGCAAAACCAACACTTAAATATAATATATATATATAAATTTTCTTCAAGATTTTAACTCTGTTTTAATTTAATTGACAAAAACTTTTGGTAATAATGATAATGTAGGTTTACTATAAGACCATTCATAAAGAATCACTGCTGAACTAATAAATGGTTGATGTCTAGTCCTATATAGATAATATTATATGAGTAAATCAAAGACGAAATCAAAGAAAAAACGAAAATGATTCATTCGAATATGGAATAGAACAAGTAAATGTAAGCAGATGATGTGTAATAGTTAAATTGATTAATGGAAAAAATCCAACTAAATTTAAAATATTGAATTTATTAAAAAAAACTAAATTCATCTTACTAATGAATAATTCTTCATCAGGTATTTTATATTGAATATACATATTTTGATCTTTCTAGAAGAAAAATAAATAACGTACAAAATTTTTCTTGAAATTTCTCTATGAACCTTTATTGTTTCGAAATTTTTCATTGTAATATTAACAGGAAAAATATCATCTTGGTCTAACATATTTGTTGATTGATCACAATTGATAACAGTAATAAGAAGAATTGTAATAAAATGAATGATAAACATTTTAAAAATAGTATTTTTTATTATACGACTTATATGTCTATATGTATTGATATAAATCATATACCGTTACTTGCCTATTTCGACGTCTGTTTTTTGTCAAAGCAAAGAAAAATGAATGAAGCGAATCTTTATTTCAACAATAGAAATACGATATATAGTAAATGACGATGTAAAACACACCCGTCTGTGTTAAGGTTTGCAAAACAAAAATAAGTATCAATGATTATCCTCTTGAAATTACCTATTCAATGTATCGAAGGTAGACATTTTCTCATAGTAGTTTCAAATGAATTTTTCAAAGTAGAGAATCTTTTATTTTGTTTTAAGCAAGAAAAAGATTCATGTATAATAATTTTGTTAAAGACTAGACAATATACTTCAATGGTTCAATTTCAAATAGATTCTCAAGAAAATGATTGTAATAATATCTTCGTTTTTCCTTGGAGAAGTAAATTATAAAAAGAATTAAATTCCTTCGATAGAAGTTTGGCATATTGTTGTTTACGTTACAAGAATAAAAAGCTAGTTGTGATTGTTATTATTCAAAAATTATATTTGTTAAGCGTTGCTCCTAGCTTAACTAACTGTAGTTTCATCATGTTGATTTTCGTACAAATATTTGAAAAAAAATTAGATAAATATCTTATACCAATGGATAATACGCTATTCTTTACAAGAATGTACTTTATTTATTTATATAAAGATGTAGAGGATTTCGAAGAATTTATCTCTAACAAGAACATTATCACTTTATATTTTTATATAAAAAAATAATTACTGATCAATAAGGAGAAATAGAACAATTACTTTATTGTTCTTTTGGGTAATAAAAAGAATCTAATATCTATTAATCTTTATTTATTATCTTTATAGTGTTCGACAAAAATTTTGTTGAATTTGATTTTGATATTATTTTGTATAAAATTCTGATGGTAAAACAAAAATAAGAGAAGTAATCACTGGAGGAATAAATGAAATGAAATAACTAAGAATCTTTTGTTGAATTCATACATTTGAATACATAAGTAAGAATTAATCGTGGTAATACGAGAAGAGGGTATAGGTGTGGCTGTGTGTTAGACTACTAGTTATACCTACATCCACATTCACTTACTCCTCGAGTCTTTTCAATCATTTATAATAAAGAATACCATAAAATGAAGTTTTTTTCTTGGTTTCTTCCATGCCTATCTTACTTCTAATAACATACTTCTACTTTCTTTTTTATTTCAATCAATATCGTTCTCTGCTTTATGACTTTTCTTTTATGTTTCGACAATAAAAGAGACTGATAAAAGTATTATTCAATGCGGGGGAAAAGTGAAGTGAGTAGGATAAAAGTAACTATCATTATCTTGTATAAATTCTTCATTTCGAAAGTTCTGACAGAAGAAACTCCTGGTGACAATACTTCTGGTACTATTAATATTGCAACAACAACACCAAACACAGTCATCCCTTTTCTAGTTTTAACTCCAGATTATTATAATATTGTTTTAGAACACAAACCAACAAATAGCTTACCTGACGCACTTCGCATATTCTAAAGTAAAATTTTAAACAACTCAAAGATGTTGATGTGGACGAGGATGTTAGACTTCTCTTTCGTTCATGCCATCACCCACATCCTCATACTGAGAATTTAAAAATGTATTTTAGATTTTAAAAAAAAACTTATACAATCAAAATTGCTCTATCTTCTTGGTTAACATGGCTAGTGCTAGTCAATCAAATGATGTCTCTCACGGTAAATCTGACGAGATGCATCTTGAAATTTTCTGTCTACTCTGGCTCGATGCTAGTTCAGGCACTAAAGAAGGTCGCGATACTGAACCAAAATTACGTTCTATCATTAATCATCTTAAGAAATTTCATGATACAGCCCAATGTCAAAAATATATTCATGAACGATCAACCAAAGAACGAGTAGTTATGATTGTTAGTGGAAGATTCGGACGAGAAATCGTTCCTTCTATTCATCATCTTAGACAAGTTATATCAATTTATGTATATTGTATGGATAAGGAAGGGAACGAAAAATGGGCTCGGAACTACAAAAAAGTAAAAATTAAACTAAATATTTTAGATTTCTATTGTATGATTTATTTTGTATTCATAGATAAAAGCTGTTGTAGTTAATCTTGATGAACTTGTTTCTCGAATTAAAGCTGATCATAAAATTCAAAAGATGGTGGAAGAACCATTATCAATTATTATTTTTACTAAAGGTGGTGATGCAGGTAGTTCAACAACAGGGTTAAATGGTGAATTTGTTTTTTCACAACTTCTCATTGATTTTCTTATTCGACTGCAGTACACTGAAGATGAAAAAAAAGAACTTATTGATCTTTGTAAAAAACAATATACTGGTAACAATGATGAATTGAGTAATATTCGTGAATTTCGTGAAAGATATTCATCTAACAAAGTTTTATGGTGGTATACACGAGAATCGTTCTTTTACAAGACCCTTAATGCCGCTCTTCGTACTCCAGCAGATATTCATACAATATTTCTATTTCGCAAATATATCGCTGATATCCAAAATCAATTAAAGAGGCATCAAGCTAAAAACCGTCTTCGAGTTTATCGAAGTCAAATGATGTCAAATAATGAACTAGAAACTTTGAAACAAAATTGTGGTAAATTCATTTCTATCAATTCATTTTTTTCTACCAGTTCTGATGAACAGCAAGCTCTGTCATTTCTCAAAAATTCTGATGATACAGAAAATTTACAAGCAGTATTATTTCAAATTGATGCTGATCCTAAGATGGCAACTGCAAAACCATTTGCTGATATCACTGAATTAAGTGAATTCAAAGGTGAAGCTGAAGTTCTTTTTATGTTGGGTTCCATTTTTCGATTGGATAGTGTCAAGCGCAGCAAAAATAGTCAAGTATGGATCATTGAAATGACATTGTGCAATGATGAAGAACATGACTTGAAACAAGTTCTCATAGATATGAAAGAGCAGTTTATGAGCGAAGGAATAAATCTTCAAGGATTAGCAAAAATATTACGGGGAATGAGCCAAATTAACCTGGCTAGAAAATACTTTATCCGTTTGTTAGAACAACTACAACTCAATGACCCTTTACGGATTGATTTGTATCAAGATCTAGGCGAACTTGAATCACATGCCGGTGACTTGGACAAGAGTATTGAATGGCACCGAAAAGCAAGTGAATTGAGAAAACAAATTCAATCTACTTCCTCTTCCACCATTAGTAAACCAAAGAATCCTTTTAGTAAGTTCATCGATAGAAAATCTTGAATATTGAAATTAGATTTATATAAAAATACTTTAACATAAGAGAAGCTCTGACCTGATTTTCATACCTCTTTGTCTATATTTCAATAATATGACAGTAATCTAAAATCTTCTTGAGTTATAATTAGTGTTAATAAACTCAGTATAAAGAATGGTTCAGTAGTTTTCACTCTAATACTTTATACGTTTGTTAGAACAGCCTTCACTCAACGATCCTTCACAAACTGATTTGTATCAAGATCTGGGCAAACTTGAAGCACATGCTGGTCACCTGGACAATAGTACAGAACGGCACCGAAAAGCAACTGAAATGAAAAATCAACGTCAATCTTCTTCTTCCTCCAGCATTAATAAACCAAAGAATCCTTTTAGTAAGTGCACCGATAGAAAATCTAATATATTGAAATGAAGTTTATATAAAAAACTGGGGTAACCTCTTTTCGTCCTTGCTTTTTTTTCGGACATCGGACAGAAAAATTCGGATGTTCCGAATGAAAAGTCCGGAAGATCGCAATCAAAATGATCGGATGTTCGGAACGAAAACGACGGATGTACGTGAGAGTGAATGGTCAATGTTCGTAAGAAAATATATTTTATGTTTCGCACATTCAGTATTTTGTCAACTTCTCTAATTGTTTCCGTCTTGTAAATATTTGATTTTAATGATGTTAACTAGATTTTGTGTGATGAATTCGTTTCTTTTAAAATTTAATTTGATGATTATATAGTTATAAGTAATAAATTCATTCAATGAATTTATCATCTGAGTTGTTTTATTTAATTTTCTTCTCATTTAATGCACATATTTTGTTATTATTTTAATTTCATTCATTAATATCAACATAGAAAATCTTTTCGTATTAGAAATTTCTTCCAAAAAGATAAATTACTAAATATAATAAAAGATTTTTCATTCATTTAAATCAATATTTACAAATGATTCAATCAATAAAAAACAGATTTTGCTGATATATTCTCCATTTTTAGAATATTTTTATTAGACAAAGATTTAACACTCTAAAGATAAGACGAATTTTTATGATTGTTTCTTATAGTGACAATCATAAATTGTGATGATCATGATCAGAAAAGAAAATGATCTTAACAATTTCTAATGAGACTGAACAATGTTTTCTGTTAATTTCCATTGAATAAAAAACAAATTTTCTCTTGGGAAAGAATTTCAATATGATTTACTTTTATTGATGAAAATAAAATTTATTGTTTAATAAAAATATTTTAAACCTTTATTTATTTGTTTTATTTTATACAAATTTTTCAGCTAAAATCATCTTTTTTATTAAAACGTTTAGTTTTCATTCTTTTCTAGAACCAAAATCCAACAAATGGAAACAAAATGCTATCACTGTGGCTGCTGGAAATGGACAGGGACAACAATTAAATCAACTCTATTTTCCTAACGGAATTTTTATTGATAAAAACAAAAATATTTTCATTGCTGATTTTAGTAATCATCGTATTGTTGAATGGAAATGTAATGCAAAGGAAGGACAAATCATTGCAGGTAGAAATGGAGAAGGAAATCGAATGGATCAGTTGAGTTATCCAACAGATGTGATTGTTGTTGTTGATCAACAAAATCACTCGATCATCATTGTTGATGGTGCGAATAAACGAGTGATTCAATGGTTGAATCAAAAGCAACAAATTCTCATTGACAATATTGACTGTTGGGGCTTGGCAATGGATAAAGATGGATTTCTTTATGTTTCTGATCGTGAGAGGAATGAAGTGAAACGATGGAAAATGGGAGAATATGACAATGAAGGAACTGTAGTGGCAGGTGGAAACGGACAAGGAAATAAACGCAATCAACTCAGTTATCCTACTTTTATCTTTGTCGATGAAGATCAATCTGTTTATGTATCAGATACTGGCAACCATCGTGTGATGAAATGGAGAAAAGATGCAAAAGAAGGAACAGTTGTTGCTGGAGGAAATGGTCAAGGAGCAAATCTAAATCAGTTGTCTTTACCTTATGGAGTAATCGTTGATAATTTGGGTCGAATCTATGTGGCAGATTTTCGGAATGCTCGAGTAATGCGTTGGTGTGAAGGAAAAGAAGAAGGTGAAATTGTTGTTAGTGGAAATGGTCAAGTAAATCAATTGAATGGTCCCTGTGGTTTATCTTTTGATGATGAAGGAAATCTTTATGTTGCTGATTATTCAAATCATCGAGTTGAAAAATTTGAAATAATTTTGTCCATGAAATTTTGATTTTGAAACAAAGGAAAAACATCTCTTGTTGCATAAAAAGCGGAGAAATAAAAGTAAAAGAAAAGGTCAAGTTTTATTATTGAGAATCAATGAAGAAAATCGAATAGAATTTAATTTGACAATTTTGATTGAAAAATTAGAATGAACCAATGTTCAATAGTTCATCTTTTATTGTTTTTTGTCGAATTTTATAGAAGAAAACAGAAAAAAATATTTTATAGTTTGAATTAAATTGAAATAAGAATCGAATCGAATTGAATTTTGTTGAACAAAACAAATGTTGAGGATGGGCATGGGTGAGTGGGTGTGGGAGTTTAAGTGTATTCTAATCTCCCACATCCACCCACACACACACGATGAGAATTGGATAGACTAGAACCTACAAACAAAATAATCATAAAATCAGTGGGCAGAGGTAAATGAGAATGAAAAGCCAATTAAGAATACATATGTATAAAAAAACGGTAGCGAGAATATAGGTAAAAAAGTTAGTACTATCACACTCATACATGAGTTTTATGATGTACTATTTCTCAATAGTTCTATGTTAAACTAGTATCCTTACTACATTCAATATCACTTGCACATCCATTGACATTTTTTAGATTGGCATTGACAAGTAAAAGTGATCTATCTTAAATATCGACTAGCTTTTATTTTATTAACAAAAAAGAGATATTATTAACACAATTAAAAATAGATTATTGTACTTTATTTTAATAATATTAATTTTCTTATTCATCAATAAGATTAGTTAAAAATTCAAGTGATTCAAAATACCCATATTTTTTAGGTATCGTCCAGTTAGTTCCATATTGTACTGTTAAAAACTGTTTTGGAGCTACCTGAAATTGTTGTCCATACATTTCGAAAGTATCTAATTTAAACTCTGGAAATGACCAACGACATTTATGGTAACGCTTTTTATCGCACAATCCATTGTAGGAAGCTGTCCACCATGCAAATGTTTCATTATTGACTAGATCACCATGATAAAAAACGAAAATACCAAAATGTAGTTTAGAACGAGGACACTCAAGTGTCCAACCTTGTCCATGTGTCATATTACCATATACAAAAAGTAGTTTAAAATCATATCTACCAACTGTCGATATAAACTTGGCATGACTTATATTGCTTTTTTCAAAATCATCAATAAATATTCCAATATCAATATCATCGGAAGTAAAATTATTTGATCGATAATACATAAGAGCTGTTCCAAAAGCAAGAAACCATGGTAATGATAAATTAACAAATACATGTTGTGCATCAAGTAAACATTTAGTAAATTCATCCATAGGTGGATTTGAATGAATCAATAATTGTATTGTATTAATATCATAAAACATCGACGTACTTTTAAAAAAAGACATTCTATAAACTAGTGATATTCCTAGTGATATAATAAACACGAAAAGAATTCGAATCTTGCGCATTATTGTATTTTGATTTATATATGAAAGATATATCTATGAACAGAATAAAAACTTATGATAAGAATTCTCAAAGACTTAATTATATACAGGGTGGGCAATAAATAACACCCCCGATAAGAAATTTGAATAACTCCATTACGGCTCGTATAAACGTGCTGATTTTTTTTATCAATGATAGAGACATGTTCAGAGTTTACATCCATAAAGACGTGCCTAAAGAGATCCTTTGTTAAATATCAATATTGATTTTAACAAAAAAATTTACTTTTTCACGTATAGGCAAAAAAGATTATATTTACCAAAAGTCTCTCTAAGCATGTCATTACAGATATAAACTTTGAATATGTCTCTATTACTGATAAGTAAATACGGAAACTTCGAATTTTATCGAGAGTTATGTGTACTACAAAAAGTGTATGAGACGGATGAGTCTTCCTAGCATGTTCGGGTATCAGAATTATAATGGAAAATCTTTTCTATAAGCACGATTTCTATTGACTGTATCCATCTGATAAGATATAGGACCGAATACTGCTGGGATTTGAACTCTTCACGTTGAGTTACTCTAGGCAAAATATTTTTTTTCGTAACTTGATTTTTATTGGCTATTGAGGGTGTGGGTATC